TCTGCTCCCCTGGTCTTGGTGCCTGCCTTGGTGCCACCCCTGGGAGGGTGTCTGGGCATCCAGCCTCTGCTCTGCCGTGTGGGAAGGGACTTGGCTTCTCCCTCCCCAGTGACTGGGGAGAGTCTGGAGTGCACTGGGAGAGTTTCCAGCGGCACTTTGTCATTTCAGAGGGTGAATAGGACAACTCTTGGGAGGTGCCAGTGCAAGCCCTTTCACTGGAACAGCACTTGTTGAACCAAATGTGGTATTTGGGGGCAGGTAGCTGAAGTGTTGCTGCTGTGAGAGAAAGAGTCCATGTGCCAGCTGATACAAGTGTTATTTCCAGGGCTCTTTGTCTTGAATTTCCACTCTGAATTGTCATTGTGGGCATGCAGAGGCTTCCTTGCTGTTTGTTCTCCCTCCTTTTGTGTCACTGACGGCATCTGTGTGACTCAGAGAATAACTGTGAACAATGGGCACCCAAAGAGCTTCATATTTGTACTCAGGGCTAATCTTGCCTGATTAAGGGTGCCAGAGCATCAGGCCATTGGGCTAAAAAGGAACCCCCAAATGCCATGGCATGCCTTAAATTCCAGCATAGCTGGTCTGGACTATTCCAGCAGAAAATCCCTGCAGCACAGGATGGGGCAAACAATTTCAGAATGGCAGAGGAGCAGGGACTGGAGCATCAAAGGGAAGCACTTGCAGCATCAAAGGGGTCAGAGAGGGGGAATGGCAGGAGGCTGACAGGAGCACAGGGGCTCCTTTGTGCGCCGATCACAGCGCTGCTCTGTGCCCGCGCTGTCGGGGCAGATGGCTGGGCAGCACCTTCTCGTCAGGCAGGAAGCTGATAAGAAATATGACTTGTCTCTAAGCCAGCATGGCTTTTCCTCCTCTTTCTTCTTCCAGTCAGTTGAATGCGTCCAGAGCATTATCTCTGCTTGGAACTGACTTTAGCAGCAGTGGCTTAATGTAATTACTGAACAGCAGCCAAAGGACACTGGTGCCGCATAACCCTGGAAGGGCTGAACTGCCAGGACTCCTCGGCAGCGAGTCACAGCCCTGCTGTGGGAGCAGGGGATCCTTGCAGGTGTGGGTGGCCCAGGACAGGTGTAGGGCCACTTTGCAGGTCCCACCTTCGCCAGCCTCCGTCAGAGCAGTACCATGCCATGCCGTGGCTTTTCAGAACTGTTCAGCTCCTGGCCATCCTGCTGTTGTCTCCGGGGCATGGGATGCCCTGTGGAGTGGAAAATGCCATGCCCTGGAGGGCGTACAAGCAAAGGCTGCTCCCTGCCCTGTGCCATGGTCACCCTGGAGCAGTGGGTGCGGGGCAGCTAATGCCTCGGAGCGTGCCGTGGGACCCATGGCTGGTGCCCAGCCCGGGGAGATGCTCTCTCCTGCCTTTGAAGAGTCAGCCCAAGGGCTCTGCCTTTGCTCAGCTTTTGGTTGCCAGCTCTGGTTTGCTTCTCCTCTGCCACGATTCAGCTTGGCATGTT